CCTCTAAGTTCCCGATCCGTAATATGGGTCGTTGGTAAAAACGTTCCTGGATCGTCACGGCAGTATGGCGGTATTGGTCAGTAGATGTGGCAGTCGATGTCCGCCTTGTGAATGTCCGCCTTTTGGGGATGGCCGCCTGTGGACTGCGTCCAAACCCTCTTTATACTATTTTTGAGGGGGTGAGAACTATGACATCATTCATGATTTATACGCACACCTGTTCGTGTGTTGATGTCTAGACCTAGCTTGTACTGACAATTGACACAGAGAAGTTTGTTTGATTTATTGCTATCAGTGTCTAGAAGATATGATTTTATAATATAAATTTCTATAGGTTTGACGCTCTCATCCATAAATTAACATTCATCTGACAATAATTTCTTTAACCTGGTCAACTATCTAGATATTGTTTATATCAACGTCGCGTTTGACTACGAAGGAGGCGATTTATTGCCGTAACCACGTGTCACGTGCAACCAAAGACTGGGTAAAAACATCTCTTATTCCCGTCTTGTTGATATTAACGTCTATAGAATTACCTTTAAACAAATGGAGGAGATTTCGTTTATTGATATACTAACGATTTTTTTCGAGGAGATCATCTCGGTCATTGACCGCAGAAGTCCCTCTTTTTCCCTTCTTACCTAATCACGAAGTTTATTAGACTACTCCAAAACAAAAGGGTTTTGGATTGTCACACATACATTGACTTTTAACTTTATATCTATGAGTTATATAATGTTTATACCACTTACATACTGAATTCCTTGGGTAATGATTTAATAAATATTTTGTAAAAAGTTGTTTTGTTTTTATTTCTATAACTTCTTGTAGCGTTGTTCTATTTAATATTTTCTTTAGTTTCATTGTTTACGTTCTTCTTGATTTCTATTGGACAATATGATTTATAATAAATAATTTTTTATACTTATGACACAAAATTTGGGTATCTTATTTTTCTATAGTGACATCTAAAAAATTCTTTTCTTCGATTCTGTTTTTCTTCACTTGTAAACTTTAAATTTTTATTTAACTCATTAGCATGTTTTTCAATACTTTAAGGTAAAATTATTTGTGAATCATATATAATCAGTATATCGTCTATGTATCATGCATAATATTTAATATTTTGAACTAGTGATAGCTTTTCATCTCTCGGTAGCATACAAATATCAGGCAATTTTGGTCCAGCAATCGATCCCATAGCAATTCCTTTCTTTTGTTGATAATAGTCTGCATAGATTTTAAAACAATTATTTTTAAATACGAATTCTATAAGATTTAATATATAGTCAGGTATTTTATATTTACTAATACCTTCTTTAATCATCTCTAAAGTAATAGATGGATACATCAATTTAACATCAACGCTGATAATACGATAACTTTGTTTAATTTTACCTTTTAATAGTTCATCCATTCGTTCATCTGTGTTCTGTGAGCCATAAAGTGATTTATAAGTAACCTGTAAGTATTTATTTAAATAACGTTCAAGATTATATAATATAAAATTCTTAAATTCTACTAAAGGCCTACAAGTGTTTCTTCGCTTATAAGTAGTGATGAAACGAATATTCGGTTACTATTCGGTATTCGGCCTATTCGACCTATTTTTCACTATTCGGCCGAATACCGAATACCTAAAAACAGGAGTAAGAAATAACAAAAACACAATAAATGAATCATTTTGGTATTTAGATTTAATGTTATCGAGTTAGTGTTGTTTGTTTATATTTATTTATAACTTATAACATGCACAAAATAAAAAAGAAAATAATATTAGTCACTTGTATTTACAATATATAATTACAAAGATCAGCACACGTACACGTCTATCGTTGGAGAATCCTCGCACATCTGAGGGTCTGACCCTGCCTATCCTTCTTTTTAAGCGCTCGTCTTTGCTCTTCCCTTTCTCTTTCCTCTATCGCTCTAATCCATGTATGCCTGTGCATACATCATAATACGCGCTCACGATACTTTCGATTCGTCACTTTTCCGTCGTAGAGTTCCCATTTTACAATTACGTGACTCAGCCTGGTGATAACGGAGAAAAGAGACAGATAGGACGTCGATATAAGTCACAGTTATGATTTCACAGATTCGAGACAGCTTGATAGCCCGAACGGCCCCAGGCTTTCGCCCGTGCACGCTAAGTGACTTACATTACAAGCATTTAGCTTTCCGAAGACTATGACAACAATTGTTTGGCATTGACGGGCGCGAATTTCGTGCCAATAAGCTGTCTCTACTTGTTCGATTATGTTATCAACTCAATTTCATATTTATTTTCACATTTTCACTTCGCGGTCCTTCTCTGTTCTTTTCCGTTATTTACACGTGTGGGTCATTTCATTGTTATCCACATTTGATATCATCATTTATTGCATACTTCCATGACACTCTTGTCTGTCTGCTACAACTGCCAAGAATTAACGCAATTGGCGAAGCGTAGTGACAGCGGGCCAATACGTAGAGAGCAGGATCCTTGCCATAATGCGGTTTGCGCGTCAACTTTCGTACGTGCGTTAATCAAGCCGAATAGTTTGGCCGAATATTCGGCTATTCGGCCACGCTCCTGGCCGAATATTCGGTATACTATTCGTTACAACACTATACTAAATACATACAGAAACTTTTGATTACGCTATAATAATTATATTTTTTCGCGTAGTACCGAGAGAGAGTTTACATGGTCAGTGATCAATTTCGTAATCGGTGAGATTCTTCGTTCGACCAGGGGTGGCGATCTGTTGGATCCTCGATTCGGATTCGGTCGACAGTATCGGTGATGACTAGGGGGAAAATCGAGAGTTGATTGGGCGTAGTTCGTTGAACGTTTTCTCCGACCCCCGTTTTAGAAGGTAACCCCCCCTATATATATGAGGAGTCACATGATTTAATTTACCAATCGTACTTATCAATGGTGACTGTCATCAAAATTCCGGTTGGGAATCTGGTGAGGGACGAAGTAGTTTCCGGCAGAAAAAGGATGAGCATCTGTTTAAAGATT